TAACAATAAGTAACCAGGGAGGAGGAGTAAATGTTGCTTGGAGAGGGTCTGCAGCTGGTGGGGTGTGGGCAGGAGAGCTGAGGGTGGGCTGCATGGTCTGGCCAGGGTGTCATCTGGCTGCCACCTCGTGGGTGCTGGCTACAGTGCAGGAGGCAAAACCATACCCCACTTCCATCACTTCCGTGGTGACTTCAAAGGGCGTCTTGACCAAGTGGCCAGTTTTGCCATTTCCATACCATGTAGGGAATGCACAGTTGATTCAATACACACACGAAACCAACTGCTGCAGTGTAACCATCCTTTCTCCGTGCAGCACACTGAGCTGCCATGAGCCAGGGCCACTTGTTGGTGTTGGGATGGCACAGTTGATTCAATACACACACAAAACCAACTGCTGCAGTGTAACCACTTCAGCAAAGCACAAGGACTGTGACATGACTGGACCCCAGATGCTCTCCCAAGGGTTTGTAGGTGTTACTCTGTCAGTGCTCAGGCTCTACTGCTTTGCTGCCTGACTGCAGCCTTGCACCTCAGCTGCTCTTAGAGTCAGGCCAGTCCCCAGCTCTGCCATGCACACACCGTGTAGCACATTTCAAACACAAAGTCAGGCTGCCAACGAGGCTGGCTGCTGCAGAGAAGTGATCTGTCATCACCAACCCCTCACCTTCCATGAAGGGCACAGATTCTCACTGTGCTTCCATTTATTTCCCTGTTTTCACTGTATGGAGAAGAGCTACAGGGGACAGCCAGCACAACCCAACCCTGAGCACTGTCCCCAGCGATGGTTTAGGAAAAGGGTAAAAGAAGGTATAGCCAGATAAACCCTTCCTCTCTGAAATCTTCCCAGAGTCAGCAACTAGTGCTTTAGGTATTTCCCAGCCTGGAGGTTGTATCCAACCCCTTGTGTTTAACAACGACCGTCCCTGAACAAGCCTCCCCCTGCCTCATCCTGACCGTACCCCAAGCTTCCCCGATGCCCTGTTCCCCCCCAGTCATGCACAGGACCGACCCCAAAGGTCTGGATGCTGCCGGTACATGCTGAGCACCCCTGCCGGGAGCCGGGAGCGGCTTCCCAGGGCTTTCCACTGGAGGTCAGTGTTGGCCTGAGCACGCCGGCTGTCACTCCGGGCCACCTCGCCCCTGCCACCCCCACCCCAGCCCATGCCGGGGCGTTACACCCGCGGGGTAAAGCGGCGGAGGGCAGAGCAGCGTTGCTCGTGCTCTGTACAAACACAGCAGCTCCATCACCTGCTCCTGCCCGAATATGAACGACCCAAATACAAAGGACCAAAATATGATGTAGCAGAGGCGCTGACTGAACACAGATACCCCGAGATGTAGCTCAGAGCTTGGGCAGTGCTGACTCCCAGATGATAATTTGTTAAAAACTCATTATTGCCTGGCAAAGTCAATCTCAGCCCATCCCACTGCACCCACTGCCCATATCCCCATCACCATCTTACTTTACTGACTCAGTCTTGACCTCCAAGAAACACCACTGACCGTCTTCAAGCCATGTATTTGCATTTCTTACTGCTTGTTTGAACCTGTTGGAAGCAGCAGGAAGGTGGTATGAGCATGAAACATGCAGAATGCTGCCATACTCAGAGAGATGCAGCAGCTTGGTTGGTTCTCCCTGGGCAGCCAGTGTTTCCCAGAGCACAACAAGCATCCTTTCAAAGTGGCAGCTCATTTTGGCTATGTGTCTCTGAATGTGCAGCCCGAGTTACCTGATTTCAACCTGATTTGCAAAGAGTTACTCACAGAGAAGTCAGACGAGATAGCCCAGATCACCATCTAAATCTCTTTGGTGGTCGGGATCAGCTCCACCTCCCCTGCTGGCAGCTCACAGGCTCCAGACAGGGCTCTGCCCCATCATGGGAAGTTCAGAGTACCTCTTGCCATCACCCTGAAGGATGACATTCATTCCACAACCTTAGAGAGCATAAAAAGTTTTGCCTCTGTCTTTTGTGTGAGCTCGAGATAGTTACAACTGTCATTACATAATATTCCCTAAAGTCCCTAAATAAAGAGGGGAGGATTTCAAAGGAGACTTGGTTTCACAACTGAAATCTGGGTGATAATTACTCCTGCTTCATTCAAATCCCTCTTGCTCACTACACAGGGACATCGAAAAGACACTAAAACAGATGAAGGGCTCAGGTATAAACTTTACAAAGCTTAAAACTACTCTGCCCCAGCAAGGCTCATGCTTTACATGACATCTTAATCCTACTCATTTGCTAGATTCACCCTATCTGTAAACAAAGCTTTGAAATGAAAGCTTAAAAGCCTGGTTGGGATACATTAACTTAACCAAGAAGACACTCTTAAGGCATTAGTTTAATGACAATCACAATACAAGTTGCCAGCATTTTGTGTGTGTGAGGATTAGTATCTGCAGGAAAAAGAAGAAAAGGGGGTTGTTCCTCCTGGTTTTCAGCTGTTTGGCAGTGTAAGACCCATGGTGAGGGTGGTTTATTGATACTTGCAGGGGGCTCTGGGCTGGGGGTCTCTGGCAGACAGGGATATATCAGTGTCCTGGGAAGACGTGCAGCCCAACACTGCACAGCAGGGTTTGTCCCAGCACACAGCAATAGGGTCATCTGCTCTCTCTGAGCCAGGTTTTCAGGGATTCAGTCCACTGTGGTGGATCTGGTGTGAAGCAAGAGTCTGAAGGGGGCTGAAGAGACCCCTCTTGCACAAGCACAGGGGTGGGGTGGGTCTCTTGCAGACGCATCCTTAGATCCCGAGCTGGGTGCTACTCTCCAGAGAGCTCCGTGGCAGGAGGGCACAGGCAGCTGGGGACAGGAGCAAGCCACAGCCCAGCCCTTCAGGGAGCCTGAGCCCCCATGGCTTCACCAGTACTTAACACACAGAGATGCCAGGAAGTTGGAAAGCTCCCTGACAGCAGCTCCCTGCTCCTGCAAGTCTTCAGGGTGACTGGGGGAGGAGCCGGCACAGCCCAGTTTGAGATGTCACAGCTTGGCTAACTCTTCACCAGTGCATCCCACTCGGGCAGAACCACAGCATCTCCTGCCCACCCCCTCCACCCAACATTGCTTTTCTTTCATGCCAGTACCTGGTTCTTCCCTACCTCAGCAACCCTCCTGCTCATGGTGCAAACCCAGCGGAGTCACAGCCCCATCACTCAGCAGCCCCAGTGCTTTGGGCACGTCTGGCCCTGACACCCTGAGCTACTCAGGCAAGATTTCAAAAGGTCTTTTGTTAGCAAAACATTTCGGGACAGGGCCCTGGGAATGAATGTGAGCTATGACAAACGTTCTTCCTGCTGACTGTCCTTGCAAGTGATTATTTCAGCATCCCTCTAAGTCATCTCTGCAGATAGAATGTCAGAGGCAGGAATGGCACGTTGCAACTTTCCGTTAGATGGAGGATGCCTGCCTATAGAGGTCTTCTGCAGAGAGCCAAAGTATTCCAATGGATACATTTTTTCACAACACCTTTTCCTAGCAGGGTTATCTCTGAGGGAAAAGCACAGAAGCTGCTACTGGGACCAGTGTGAAATTGCAAGGCTCAAGCTGAAACGACCAGAGAAGAGACTCAGCACCCAGCCCTCAGCTGAAGGTGGTAGAACAGATCTAGGCCAGTTTTTAGAGACAGACGGAGTCCAAATTTTAAAGAAGCCAAGAAGAAAAAATAATTTTCTTCTCTTCCCTCACATACTAATTCCCCTCTCCGTTTCTCTGAAGCACATAGAGTGAAAGAATGAAAAGCCACAAGCTCCCAAGCCGTGGACAAAAGCTGACTCCTTGGGTACCCACATGTGCACCAGCTTTTGGTTGTGCCCAGATGCTGGGGAATAAGATGCTGTTTTACACCAGAGCCCAACCGACATCCAACTCCTCCTTAGAGAGAAAGGTGCAATAAGGACTATAGAAACTGCTCTGCTTCAGAGGGCACGCTTGAAAAACAGGAAAGAAATCCTAGCTTGGCACCAAAGGATGTTTAAATTAGAAAAAAAAAAAATCTAAATCCGGGGATGGGAAATTCTGCCTTCAAACGTGGTGAGACAGTCTGGCTGGCAGTCCTGAAAATAAATAGCAGCAGCCTGGCCAGTGAACAGGTTAGAATTTTAATTGATTTTGTTGCTAGGAAGAAAAAAATACGATCTCCTAATTTGATGTGCTAAATCAGAATTTCACCTGCAAGGGGTCCCTCGGAGGGAAGACACATTCCATGTACACAAATGGAAATCATCAAGTCCAGTAAGAGCTGCATAGGTAAACCTTACAGGAGTTACCACTCGGTTTTAAGAACATCATAATAAAATAGAGAGCTTTGGAAAGTGTCACTAAAAATGTTAAGATCGTGGCAGTGTCACAACAACAGCACGAGTCCATTTCCCACCAGTTACAAGACTATAATTTCCTCTTGCCAAAATCCATCCAGAGCCAGAGGAACAGCAGCACTGGTCACGTTGGAAGGAAAAGCTTTATTTTAAAAAAGTCCTTTCTAACAATAGAGGTAATTTTTAAAAATAGTAAAAAGAAGTAGTCAAGTTGGGATTTCTTTTCCTACAGGGAAAGGAAATGATAAACATCTTAAATATTCATTTAAAATCCAGTGAACTTGTTTAGTGGGATTTTCTGATAACTTTCGTTCCAGTTACACAGGAGGCACCCAGGGAAGAGAGGAGAAAGCCCATTTGTGGGAGTTTCCTGCACCTTACACTGTGTGCCCACCTCCTGTCTGTGCTGCTCCTCACCCTAGGGTTGCACTGCTGCAGATGGCATCCCCGGGGCCAGGCTGTGCAGAAGGACAAGCGTGGGGAGCCCTGCCTGGCAGATGCAGCCAGAGATGGGGCGGAAAAACAGATCACCTTGCCTCCACCTCAAAATCAGCTGAGAAGCAGAGGAGTTGAGTCCTCCCACACCTGTGTCCGCTCCCCCAGCTGGTCCCCACAGCAGGGAGAAGTCCACTTGTCCAGAGATGCTCCTGGGAGCCTGGGGACGTCCAGCCAAGCCCCCTCAACCCCATCACATGTACCGCTCCAGGCCAGCAGGGAAGTTGGGCTGCCTCATGTAGGTGTTGCTGGAGCCGAACTGGCCGAGGGGCGACGCAGAGAGCCCCAGGAGCTGCTCGCCGTGCTCGGCACAGGCCGGAGGCCGCATGGCCGGCAGGGCCAGTCTGTTGGGAGCCCCGTAGAGCTGCGGGCTGCTGGGCGAGTAGCTGCCCTGTGCCACGGGCAGGTGAGGGGGCGAGGCGGCATAGGGGTAAGCCAGGGTGTTGGGGCCAGCCCGGCCCAGCAAGCCAGGGCTGACAGGCTGTGCCTGGAAGCAGGGAGGCTCAGAGCTGCTGGCGGAGCAGGCGGGAGCCAACTCGGCTCCGGGCAAACCCAGCGATGGGTGGCCCAGCTCGGAGGGCGGTGAGGGCTGTAGGGCCTGCTGCCCGCTGATGAGGCTGTCGATGCTGAACATCCTGGGATGCTGTGCCGGCGGTGCTGCCCCGGCTGCATAGGGGTGGAAGACAGTGCTGGAGAGCTGGGGGCCGTAGCCAGGCGAGCAGAGGGCATTGGGGTAGGGTGCTGCCGGTGCTGCGGGGCGGCCGGCGGGCGGGGGCGTGAAGGCGCTGGAGTTCTGCATGTAGCCGGGGTAGGTGGTGATGTCGGTGCGCTTGAAGCGCTTCCTCCGGCGCAGGAAGCTCCCGTTGTCAAACATGTCCTCTGCAGCCGGGTCCAGTGTCCAGTAGTTGCCCTTGCCGGGATGTCCGGGCTCCCGGGGGATCTTGACGAAGCAGTCGTTGAGGGTGAGGTTGTGGCGGATGCTGTTCTGCCACTTCTTTGGGTTCTCCCGGTAGAAGGGGAAGCGCTCGGTGATGAACTTGTAGATGCCCCCCAAGGTGAGCTTCCTCTCGGCGGCGTTGGCGATGGCCATGGCGATGAGGGCGATGTAGGAGTACGGGGGTTTGCCCCGCTGCACCGGCCGCTTCCTCCGGCGGCCTCCGGCGGGGGCGGCGGCTCCTCGGGGGGCGGCGGCGGCGGGGCAGGGCTGCCCCCTCCGCCCCGCGGCTCCGGCTTCACCGGCGGCGCCTGCGGAGACCCCCGGGGCGGCCCGGGGGAGCCGGGGCTGGCCGCGGCGGCGGGGCTGGGCGCCGGCAGCGTGCACATGCCTCGCAGGCAGGGGAAGCCGGCCGCGTTCATATACGGCCCTCGCCTTCCTCCTCCTCCTCCTCGGAGGATGGGGGGGAAGCGGCGGGAGAAAGAGCCCCCCCCGAAGGGAGGGGAAGGGGGAGAGGGAGGGGAAGGGGAAAGGGGCTGGCGCCGCGGCAGCTCCCTGCGATGGGGAGGTCGGTCCCGAGCCGCTTGGCAATATATAGGGCGTTCGCCCCCCCGGAGGGGCGTGCGGTGCCGGCCCGCCCGGCCCCTCTCCCCCGACGGGAGGAGGAGGTCCCCGGGGAGGGGTCCCGACTCCCATGACTAAATCCCCCAGCCTCTCCTGGGGTTCGATCCGCAGCCGTGCCCCCGAGCGGTCCCTCCCCCGGGGGTCCCGGGGCCAGCGCTGGGCCGGCCCCGCTCAGCGGCGCTTCGCCTTCCTCGGAAGAGGTGTTTCCTCCCAGGAGAAAAAGCAAACAAAACTAGTCCCGACGGCCAGCCCGGGACTAGTTTGGTGCCGCCGCCAGCCCCCAGCAGTAGAGCAGGTAACCTCCCGCCGGGACCCCTCCTGCGCTTGGATTTCGTTGTCTTTTTTCCTTGTGGAGAGCTCTTAGAGTTGGCCCCAAGTCAGTGCCGGCAACAGCCAGGGTTTCTCCACGAAACCAAGCCCCTCGGTTTAGTTACTTTGCAGCCTGGTGAGACCTCCTGGGTAAGGAAATCCTGGGAAAAGGTTTCTCCTTTTTCCCGAGAGAAAGAGAAATGGTCCGCAGAGCTCAAAGGCCGCCCGCAGGTACCTCTCGCAGTGCGGGCAGGGTATGCAGGAGAGGGATGGCGCTTTGGGGCTGGACAGGGGAAGTGGAAGTCACTTTATCACTGCAGACAATCTGAAGCTGGAGGAAGACACCCGTCTCAGAACGCCCTATTGGTTTTTGGAGAAAACCTCTTCAGTTCTCAGAGTGGTGCTTCAGAGCGAGCTGGCTGGGCAGAACCGCGGCCCCTCATCCACATGCTGACACCAGAGCTGGGGGCTGCTGGCTGCTTTAGCGGCGCCAAAATAGCCGGGAGCTTTCACACCGTCCTCACCCATTGCCGCCGACCGTCACCTCCAAGCCAGATGCCCAAGGAGCCCCCAGCAGGTAAGGGAGCTGCTGCATAAGGGTGGGCTGGACAAGCCAGGGGGGATTTCTGTAGCCAGATCACAGCTTTACACATAGCTACATGTCCATGTCCTGAGAAGGCAGATGGAAATGTCTAATGTCTACACCGTTAATGCAGTGGCAGATCTCTTCACATGTGTGTGGAGTAAAAATTGAAACCTTCAAACTTCATAACTTGGTTGAAAGTATTTCCAGTAGCAAAGCACGATGAAAGCCATTCTCCGCAGAGGCAAACAGGTGATCTTGGTCGGGTCATATCATCCTTCTTCCTTCCTCTTTAAACTAAAAAACCACCCCGTCTTTTGGAAAAGAGCTCTTCAGCTCTTTCCTTTAAGCATTACCCAGTGGTTTTATGTTCACCATCCAGGTTATCTCCCACCATCACTCATTCCCTTTCTTGTGCCTGCATGTGGTTTTGTCCTTGTTTTATTTTTCCTGCAGATACATGTGGTTCTTCATCCACTCTCCGGGGCTCAGTCAGGGAATTGTGGTCTAACAGAGCCATGGCAAGTCCAGTCCTGTTCTGACACAGAGCAGTGCTGTTGCAGTAAACTGCCTCAGTTTTCATTCTGCCAAATTAGGGTAACAACAGGAGTGTAGCTGCTGGCTGGAGGACAGAGAGCAGGTGAAAAAGGGTGAAACATGGCCTTAGGGAAAGGTACCTTTCTCCACAGAAGACAGATCTTCAGGGAGGAAAGCAAGGGAAAGGCACGGCTGGGACTATTCATTCACCTTGGGAGAGACATGGGAAAAAGAATGCAATATTTGTATTTCCCCTGGAGTGTGCATTTGAATCAAGCAAGTATCAGAATGCAGATAGTTCGTTTCAGTCAGAGGATCTGACTTTTCCACTCACTGGAGAGGACAGCAGGACAGGTGCCCAAGAAGGGAGTCACTAAAGATCACTCCAGAACGCACAAAGAAAATTAACTCCCTGGGGGAGAAGGAAAACTTTCGCTTTGCAAACATTAGCTGGTGAGCTTTTCACATCAGTGAGAGGATTGTAACATATCCTGATCTTGCAAGAATAGTTATGGGAGGGAAAAGGATTATGGAGTGGAAAAGAGGAATGGTTTTTCTCAGTTATATTAAATAGCCCTTACTTATCACTCACTTTTTTTTTTTTTTTTTAAGTTTAAACAACAGAAAAAAGAGTTGGAAAAGAAAATCCACCAGTATAGCTGGATCTGGAGCAGCCTGCACCTGAGATCAGATCTAGCAAAGGAGGAGACATCTCATCTGGACGATGGGCTCTGAAAACCCAACGGCTTTAAGTGTTTATAGTCTGAGGCCCTGATCTCATGTCATTTTACACACACTGGGAGAAGCCCTGGCCCCATCTCAGGCTGGGGGCTGGCTGAGACTCCAGCTGGTGAGTAGTTACTTTAAGGCTGACGGGACCATTCAAATTACTCTCAACTTCAGTGGGTTAAGACGCAGATGTCAGAGTAGCTTTGACAGACGGATAAAACAGCGGGATGGAGGTGGTCAGGAGCACACAGACAGGAAACAAACTGCGTTTTACCATGGAATAAGGAAGGCCAAAACACACAGACTCTGATTCCCACATATGCTTTCTCACTCAGGGTGCTCTTTGGCCCAGATCTATTATTAAAAACTGGAAGACAATAATAAAGATGGCTACCAAACAAACGCAACCTGGATCTCTCTTTAAAGTGAGGTGAGGAGAAGGGAATAAATCACATTCACTAGGCAAGCGTAAGTTTTGCCAGCAACTGCTGCCTTCTACATCAGCTCATCCTAACTGAATATGCAGAGCAATTTCAACTACTCTTTTACCTCCAGCTCCTGAACTTCTTTGCACTAGAACTGCAGCCTCCTCTAGAAATGTTGCACACACAAATCATTTCCCAGCACAGGTGAAGTTGTTTCACTGCAGAGGAACGGGGCTGTGCACCCTCAGTGAGCTGCTGTTTTAAGCCCTGCATGCACCCAGGTGTTGCACTGGTGGTACCCAGGCCACATTTCCAATCTACTCTTTGCAATCACATGGGTTAGAAAAATATGCATTTTCTTGCCCCAAAACAAAACAATCTTTTGCTAAAACCACATGAAATATGGGGGTAACTGGGTAGAAGGTTCATGATCTTTAATGCAGCCATGCTGAGAGACCAGTGGGTTTCTCCTATCCTGAGTAAAACAGTAGCCTAGACGTCTGCACCAGGCATAGTTGCACTTAGAGCATCCCTGTATCCAGAGCCCTCCCCTTAGCCATGAAGGAGTCATCTGTTACTCAGTCCCCCCTGGGATGTGCAAGGAAGAACAGGGGCTGAGAGCCCTGAGAGCAAGGAGTTCTCTTGTTCCTCTCCCAAGAACTTCCACAGTGAGCAGCCCAAAGCATCCTCCAGTGATGCCTTCAATGACACAACACCTGCTGATGGTGCTCTTAACATGGCCCTGAACTACCCTGTTACTTACTAACAACCAAACATTTGGGGATTTCCCTGGCTGAAAGCTGTACAAACCCATTCCCACCCTCCATGCATCACTATCTGAATCCATCCATGCTTCAAAACCCCAGATGGAGACCCTCAGAAGAATCTTGAGAGATCCTCCCACCACAGGTACTCTGTGTGAGGGGAAGGCTTTGCCACCAGAACATGAATCACATCGCCCACAGAATCACAGAATGGGTCGGGTTGGAAGGGACCACAGTGGGTGATCTGGTCCCACCTTCTTGCTTGAGCAGGGTCATCCCAGAGCACATGGCACGGGATTGCATCCAGATGGTTCTTGAATGTCTCCAGTGAGGGAGGCTCCACATCCTCTCTGAGTAACCTGTTCCAGTGTGCAGTTACCCCTCAGGAAAGAGGTTCTTTCTCACATTCAAGTGGAACTTCCTGGGCATCATTTTCTGCCCCCTTGCCTCTTGTCCTATTGCTTGGCACCCCCAGAAAGAGCCATGTAAGAGGTCAACACATTTGCACGAGGTTACTTCAGCTGGGGTGTGTGTGTATGGGAAATCCTTTCCTCCTGGGACATTTCCCTCATGGGATGCCACCTCTCAGAGAAGGAACATCTGATGGAAGAAGCAATGAAAGCAAAACAGTAGACTTGGAGGGTTCACTCTGAGGCTTGTAACCCCAATTAGCACATGTGCAGGAGTGGGGCCACAATGCTGCTCAGCTACAGGATCAGCAGCCATGCAAAAAGCAGCACAGGACACCAGGCGATGACTGCCTGGGGTCAAAGGAGCCACAGTTAAACACCCTTCCTGAGCTGTTCCATTTCTTCAAGATGCAGGAAACTGATAACTAAAGCAAATAAATTCTTCCTGAGAACTAACTCTTTGAGTCACTTATGTATTTGTAGGTAAGTGTGCAGTAAGGTCCAGACAAAATCGTTTCTTCACAAAAATGATAGGTAAAGCATCTACCAAAACTGGGGAACATCAGGGAAAAAAATACTAAAAAAAAGAGTCTCATAACCTACTCTTCACCTTTCTGGGCAAGTTCTGGGTGTTTTTTCCCTCCAAACCCAGTCCAGAATGTTTTGTGCATTACCACACTATTTCTCTCCCCCTGACCCCACACATTATCCCAAGCCTTCCCCATGCTGGGAAGCTCTGCCTCTACCCACTTCTTCCTACCTGCCATGCAGGAGATTTTTCTGCTGCCCAGATCCTGTCTCCATCACAGCTCTAGCCAGCCCCCCAAGCCTCTTGAGGCTTGGGTTTGTCAATGAAATCAAGGGAATGATGCCCAACTGCCCCAGATGCTGCATACCAGGGCTTCCAGGCAAGGACTTCACTGCAAAACTCTCCCTTTTCCTTGTCAGTTTGCTGGTTTCTTACAGATACCAATTGCAAGACCAGGCAGATGCTTAAAATCCCACATTGCTGGCTCACTACCTGCTCTCTTTTTCCTCTGT